CCCCATCCCCCCCAGCCCTCCCCTCCAAACCCCCGACCTCACTTCGCCATCCCCACCAGCCCTCACCTCCAAACCCCCGACCTCACTTCGCCATCCCCACCAGCCCTCACCTCCATGCCCCTGACCCCACTTCCTCATCCCCACCAGCCCTCCTCTAGGAACCCCACTCACTGCTTCCTGCAGTGGGCGGCCGTGAGCAGCCACTGTGGATGCACCAACACCGCCCCGCAGTAGAGCTGGTTGGGTCCTAGCAGCAGCGCGGCCTGCCATTGCTGGCTGTGCTTCTCGCAGTCGGACCCATTGATGATGCGGCTGCTGCTGTTGTCTGACCAGGCGTCTTCCCTGGCCCCAGCTCCAAGGTCTTGGTTTCTCCCAGAGGGCCCAGTGTTAGAGGGGCTGCCACAGGAACCATCATCGTTTGCGAGAACACGCTCTGGGGTGGAAAATGGGTTAGGCGGGTCTCAGAGGCGGGGCTTGGGCTCGGGGTGGGTCTCAGACTCCAGAGGGCGTTCCAGCTAGAGGGTGGACCAGCTAGAGGGTGGACCAGCTAGAGGGTGGACCAGCTAGAGGGTGGGTGTCTGACCTGCTGAGGGGGCGGGGCCAGGGCCTAGGGACGGGGCCTGGAGAATAAGAGTGGCACCACTGAAGACCAGGCTTACGCCCAAGGACAGAGCCCAGGCTCAGGTAGGGTTACTGGACTCGTAACGGATTCCTGGAATTGGCTACAACTAAACGAGTGGCACCAGAGGAGGGTAAAATTGGGTACAGGATTCCTGGACAAGCTCAGGGATAGAGCCAAGGCTGTGGGGGCTGGAGCCTGGGGATGGGAGGGAGACCAGGGCTTTAGGGATGGAACTGCTCTCAAGAAGTGGGGCCAGGCCTCAGTGAATTGGGTCAGGGCTGGAGGCAGAGAGGGGTTTGGAGTCGACTTGGTTAGGGTCAAGGCCAGGGTTACGTGTTGGAATCTTCTATAAAGAGGTCTGAATTTGGGCAGGGCATGGTGGCTCACGCCTGAAACCTCAGCACTCTGGGAGGCCAAGGCGGGCAGATCACCTGAGGTCGGGAGTTCGAGACTAGCCTGGCCAACATGGTGAAACCCCATCTCTACTAAAAACATAAAAGTACCTGAGTGTGGTGGTGGGCGCCTGTAATCCCAGCTACTTGGAAGGTGGAGGCACGAGAATCACTTGAACCCAGGAGGCAGAGGTTGCAGTGAGCAGAGATCACACCACTGCTCTCCAGCCTGGGAGAAAGTGAGACTCTGTCTCACCAAAAAAAAAAAAAAAGCTCTGACTTTGGAGGGGGCTCTAGAAGGTGCCTGCAGCATAGGGGGTAGAGCCTGGCCCAAAGGGGTGTGGCCTGAGGCGGGGTTCGACTAGAGTCGGGCCTAGGGGCGTGGCTGAGGAAAGGGGTAGGGTCAGAGTTCATGGGCGGAGCTAGGATTCGGAAAGCAGGAGCTGGAAAGAAGGGCTCAGCTTAGGGGGCCATGTGGAGGGGAAGAGCAGGGCTAGGTTTCTGAATTCTCAGACGAAAACATGCCTCCCCAATCCTGTCAATCCCCTTCTCTCACACACAGACCTACAGACTGCATAGATGCCCTCCTCCATCCTCAGTCCTCCCGTGCCCATTCACTGGTTCTTACACTTTGTTTCGTTTTTGTTTTGTTTTGAGATGGAGTTTCCCTCTTGTTGCCCAGGCTGGAGCGCAGTGGCGTGATCTCGGCTCACCGCAGCCTCCACCTCCCAGGTTTAAGTGATTCTCCTGCCTCAGCCTCCTGAGTAGCTGGGATTACAGGTGTGCACCACTACACCCGGCCAATTTTGTATTTTTAGTAGAGACGGGGTTTCAACATGTTGGTCAGACTGGTCTCAAACTCCCGACCTCAGGTGATCCGCCTGCCTCGGCCTCCCAAAGTGGTGGGATTAGAAGCATGAGCCACCACACCTGGCCTGGTTCTTACCCTAGCTGATGACCCTGCCACCGCCATCATTCACCAACTCACCCCAGGAACCAGGCACACAACCGCAGTTACAGCCAAGCACGCATGCAGTTCTGCAGACAGGCACGCATTGCCTCCACAGATGCAGCTAACGGTGCAGCTCTGTGTCCAGGTACACACGCTCCCCAGGTACACACCCTCCCGGGCGGCCTCATCCGCAGTGTCTCAGTGCCACTCACAGATGCCCCGCGTGCTTAGATCTTTAGACTGCCACATACTCTTCTGCACACAGGCATGTTGACATGGTGACAAAATTATGCTTGCTGGACACTTGCACGCTGGTGCCCAGCATGGCACAGTGCAAGTCAGTCACCTAGCACGCATCTCCCAGAGACAGCCACCACTGCACCCTCTATCCCTCCAGGCAGGGACAGAAACTCCAGACACACTCCAGGCACCATCACACACACAGTAGCATTTACACAGCCTCACACAGACACACACAGTCACATACAGTCACCGGTACATAGAGCTTCAGGCAGTCACAAGGTCACAAATGTAGGCACCCGTAATGTCACACTCAGCCACAATCAGGTAATCGCCTGCAGGCACACAGTCGCACATTTCCGTGGTGACGACCACTTTTGTTGCATGCAATCCCAGGACCTCAGGGACAGGAACTGCAGATACCAGCAGTCATGTACAAAGCCAAGTTGCCACACACAGCCAAACGCACAGTAAACACCCCCAGTGCCACACACATTCACCCACAGAGTTGTGGAACTACACACAATCACAAAACCACACACACAGTCTCAAAGGGTCGGCGCCACCTGCTGCATGGTCACCTGATATGGGAAAAGGCGCCCTCCTCTCCCTCACACACCGTGGCGGTCACAAGGCCACATACAATCACACAACCATAAATACAGACAGAGGCTCACATTCACCCAGTCCTGGAGTCATGCCCAGACTCACACAGTTCCCCAGGGAACAGGCGTTCTAGTGTCGCAGGTACAGTCCCCCCAGTCCCATGCCCCGCCCACACCCCCTCCACGCCCCAGAGTTCTGGTTACCTGTGACTCCCAGAAGCAAGGCTGTGATCAGAGCACTGAGCACCCACATCCGGGGGCATCCTACTGTAGCCATGGCCGCTGCACCTGGATGGGGGGTGTCAGAGGTCTGGGAAGCCCAGGAGATCCAGGGAGCCCTTAACCCACTTCCCCTCCCTCCCCTACCTTATTTTCCCCAGGTAGAGAGGAGCTAGGACGCTGCCCCACCATCATGCTGTGCCGAGACCCAGGCACTATGGAATTTAGAAGACAAGAGTCTAGCAGCCTCCAGAGGGGGCGAGAAGGGGAAGACAGAGATGTGGGTGCAGGGCGTGCAGACACCTCTCCTTCCCTGCCTGCTGAGCCACCCTCCCCAGGCCTCACCTGCCCTGTCCCCCAGGTAGGGGGTGGGGGATTTGCTCCCGGCTCGGCTGAGGACTTCTCGGCCCGCGCCTTCCCGGCTGGCCGCTGCCTCCTCCTGGGCGTTGGGCGCTGCACGGGCCTGAGTTATAACCACGCACTGCTCCCTGGGGCGCATTCCCAGGCAGTGAGGTGCCTATCGGCCTCAGCAATCGCTCCTCCTGCTCCCCCATCTCCACCCCAGAGCACCCCCCACCCAGTCCTGAGTGCCACTCCCTGCCTTCCTGGCCCAGAAGATGGGGAGGGGTCTCCGGAAGCCAGGCCAGCCCCCTCCCTGCCTCCTCCAGCCTCAGGGATCTGGCCTCTCCCCAACTGTTCTGGCGCCTGGATCTCTTTCTTTCTGCCCTGTGTTTTTCTCATTCGACCACTCTGTCCCCTCGTTACTCCTTCTTCCACCTTCCTCTCTGTTTTTCCAGAGTCTTTTTCCATCTCTCCATGGTTCTCTCTCCAGCCTCCCTCTTTTTCTCTCCCTCCTCGCCTCTCTCTCACTCTGTCTCTCTCTGTCTGTCTGTGTCTCTCTGTCTCTGTCTCTGTCTTTCTCTGTCTCTCTGTCTCCTTGTCTGTCTCTCTCTGTCTCTGTCTCCCTCTCTCTCTCTGTCTCTCTGTCTTTCTCTGTCTCTCTCTCTGTCTCTGTCTCTGTGTCTCTGTCTCTGTGTCTCTGTCTCTGTCTCTGTCTCTCTCTCTGTCTCCTTGTCTGTCTCTCTGTCTCTTTCTCTGTCTCTCTGTCTCTCTGTCTCTCTCTCTCCCCGTCCCTCTCCAGCCTTGTTCCCCTCTCTTTGGGACTCAAGTGTGGCTATCTCCCTGTTCCTCTGTCTTTCTGTGCCTCTGTGATTCTTTCTTTTTTAAAGGTTCTGTATGATTTGTCAAATATACCTTAGAGTTCTCAGCCCATTTATTATTTTTTATTTCACTTCTGCTCTATTTGTTTACAGCATTTTTTTAAGGTATAATTGAGATACAACAAACTGCTTGTTTGTTTATTTATTTACCTGAGACAGAGTCTTGCTCCGTCGCCCAGGCTGCAGGGCAGTGGCGTGATCTTGGCTCTCTGCAAACTCTGCGAGCGATTGTCATGCCTCCAGAGTAGCTGGGATTACAGGTGTGCGCCACGACGCCCGGCTGATTTTTTTGTATTTTTTTAAAAGTAGAGACAGGGTTTCACCAGGTTGGCCAGACAAACTCCTGGCCTCAAGTGATTCACCCACCTCTGCCTCCCAAAGTGCTGGGATTACAGGCATGAGCCACTGCGCCTGGCCCAAACTGCATATTTAAAGGGCACAGTTTGATGGCTTTGGGGACCTGTCACATGGCCACCCATGATCAGGAGGATGGTCCTAGTCACCACCCTGAAAACTGTGCTCCTGCCCCTTTGTGTCTGGGATCCTCTGTTAATCTCTTTCTTTACACCTCTGTCTCCTTTGTGTCTTTCTCTATCTTCCCTTTTCTCTCTGACTCTGATTCTTCCCAGGCTGTCTGTGTGTTCTCTGTGTGTTTCTGCATTTGTATCATTCTGTCCCTTCCCTCTCTCTCTCATTCTCTCCCTCTGTCTCCCTGTCTGTACCTCCATCTCTCTCGCTCCCTCTTTTTTCCTCTCTCTCTCCCTCTCTCCTTTCCTCTCCTTCCCTCTCCCCTCCGTCTCCCTTTCCCTCCCTCTCTCTCTTTTCCTCTCCCTCTTTCCCTCTCCCTCTCTCTCCCCACAATCTCTCTCTCTCCCTCTCTCCTCCGTCTCTGTGTGTCTCTCTCTCTCTTTCCCTCTCTTTCCCTTTCTTCCTCCCTCCCTATCTTTCTGCCTCCCTCTCCCTGCATTCAGAGGGAGCCCCCAACTCCTTCTCCTGATTTCACTCTGGGCCCAGGACGCGGAGCAGAAAGAGGCAGGGACCCAGTCTGGGAACCTGCAGGTGCCAGGGCCCAGCTGGTGTGGCCAGGCATGGGTGAGACAGTTGGGCAGGGCTACCTGTTGATAGGAAAATAGGTCAAGAGGCCAGGAAAGGGGCAGATGGCTTGGGAAATGGGCATTGGGCAGGGAACCCGAAAGGTGGCTTCTCCGTCCCCACTCCTGGGCCATCCGAGGCCTCCTGTACTGACCTCTTCTCCACGCTGGCTGTTTTTTCTGTCTGCCTCCAGCTCTTTGCATCTGTCTTCGTGTCTCCCTGCCTCTGTCCTCACTAGGAAGCAAGAGCTAATTAAACATTCACCTGTGATGTGCCAGACTCAGGTGTCCGTGAACAAAATGGCAAAGATGCCGGAAGATCCTGCCCTCTTTGGGTCCTGATTCCTTGAGGGCGAAAAGCTAACCGAGCTGTGTTAAATAAGAGATTTTAGAGCCCTTAAGACTGGTTTTAGTGCACAGGAAAAAAAAAACAAAACTCGAAATAACAAAAACCTATTCTGAGATTTGTTTTGATTATGGTAATTAATATTTCATTCATTAAAGTGAGAAAACTAAGGTCAGGCATGGTGGCTCGAACCTGTAATCCCAGCACTTTGGGAGTTCAAGGCAGGCGGATCACCTGAGATCAGGAGTGTGAGACCAGCCTGACCAACATGGTGAAACCCCCGTCTCTACTAAAAATACAAAAATTAGCCGGGCGTGGTGGCGGGCGCCTGTAATCCCAGCTACTCCAGAGGCTGAGGCAGAAGAATCACTTAACCCGGGAGGCGGAGGTTTCGGTGAGCCAATATCACACCATTGCACTCCAGCCTGGGTGACAAGAGCAAAACTCCATCTCAAAAAACAAACAAAAAGTCATCCACTTCCTTCCATCATGTTGCCATGATAAAATGTTGTGTTTCTTTGATTCTTAAGATGAAGCCCTGGTCTGACCCGTCCTTCTTCCCCCAGGCCCTCAGGATCAGGTCCGAGTTCTTCTCCCTGGCACTTGGTGGCATTGTCTTCCGCTGACCTACATTTCCAGCCACGTCATTCATTTCTCCCACCTCAAACCCCAGCTTCTGCCATCTGGGATGGTTCACAGGTGTCCTCACACCCCCAGGCTTTTCTACATGCTGTTCCTTCTGCGAGAATGCCGTCCTCCTGAACTTCTCCATGGGGTGAACTCATATCCAGCCTTGCTTTCCTGCCCTCCCAGGCTCAGCCCCACCTCAACCCTCATCTTTCCTCCCTGCACCATCACCTCAACCTCCTCCCTAGCCCCAGCCTCCAGTGCCTCCCCTCTGGTTTATCCTGCATATGGCCCCGCGGCTCCCCATTGCCTTCAGTAGAAGGTCCCCACCTCTCACGCTGCCATCTGAGGTCCTTAGGGATCTGACCCCTGCCTTCCTCTCCCATCACCCTTACCCATGCATGGTGGCCTTCCTACCCTCCACCCTCCCTGCTTTTGCTGTGACAAAAGAAGTTTAGGCCAGACACAGTGGCTCACACCTGTAATCCCAGCACTTTGGGAGGCCAAGGCGGGCGGATCACAAGGTCAGGAGTTCAAGACCAGCCTGGCCAACATGGTGAAACCTCACCTCTACTAAATATACAAAAATTAGCCAGGTGTGGTGATGTGCACCTGTAATCTCAGCTACTGAGGAGGCTGAGGCAGGACAATCACTTCAGCCTGGGAGGTGGAGGTTGCAGCGAGCCAAGATCATGCCACTGCACTCCAGCCTGGGCGACAGAGTTAGATGCCATCTTAGTGAAAACAAAAAATTTAGAGGCAAGAGCCATCCTTAAGGGGTAGCAAGGTGGAGGTGTCAAGGGTGCCTTCCTGGAAGGGAGGAAAAATCAAATTGGGCTGTAAAGGAGAACTGAGAATATCTAGATTTCAGAAAGGTAGAAGTAAAATTAAAGCAAAAAGCCCCACTCATAATAAAATTCACTCTTTATTGAGGGCATGGTGGGCCAGGTGCTGTTCTGTGCATGTCGTGGGTGTGAAACCTTAAATCTTCCCAACAGCCACTGCCTTATGGGGACTATATCAACCTTATCTTCATTTTTCAGATGAGAAACCTACAGTAAAGGAAGGTATATCCCAAGGAGACACAGATACTAAGAGGCATAGCTGGGATTCCAGACACATGGCAGGGCCTCTGCAGGAAGAAACCAAACGTGTGGAATAATCAGGGAGGGGAGATGCTTAGAAGGGATTTTCCTGTGTCCTCTTAGTGGTGGGGGTAAGACCTCGGCCCAAGTCCTCACTCATCAAGTCTTCCCCAGTGATGCCAGGATGGAGCTGGGGTAAAACCAGGGAGAATCAGGGCTCTCGTGTCGCTGTCTTTATTAAGCGTCAGGGTCAGAGCTGGGCAGGAGGGGAGGGGAGGCAAGGTCTTGGTGAGAGACGTTCTGGAACCAGCCAGTGGGGTGGTAGGTAGGTCAGGAGTTGGATGTCACATGCCAGGGTCACTTGGCCTGAATGGTTTTTCGGATCCAATTAGTGTATCTGCAGACATTGGTGTAGACTCCTGGCTTCTCCTTTGATCCACATGGGACGTTACCCCATGACACAAGGCCTCGGAGGCGGTCTCCACATACCAGCGGACCCCCAGAATCGCCCTGTGGGAAAGAGGGAGAAAGTCAGATACAGATAGAAAGCAAGAGACTGCGGGAGTGAGAGAGACAGAGACAGAGACATGTAGAAAGGGACAGAGACACTCAAAGATGGAGAGAAAGACTCAGACACACAGAGAAAGAGAGACAGACACATACATGCACAGAGAAAGGTTGAGAGAGACTAAAGGAGACTCAAACACAGACACACAGAAGAAATGCCAAGATGCCAAGAGAGGAAGAAAGAATAAATTTAAGAATGGAGCCAGAGGTACAGAGGCAGATGGAGAGAGGAGGAAAAGACAAGGACAACTAAGACTAAGGAGGAGGAGAAAGACAGGAAGGAGAGGGAGGAGGAGGCGGCGGAGGAGGAAAAGAAGATAAAGAAGAGGAAGGAGGAGTCAGAGAAGAGGAGGAGGAAATAATAAAACCCAGGGGAAGCCAGGCGCAGTGGCTCACACCTGTAATGCCAGCACTTTGGGAGGCTGAGGTGGGTGGGTCACCTGAGCTCAGGGGTTTGAGACCAGCCTGGCCAACATGGTGAAACCCCATCTCTACTAAAAAAAACACAAAATTAGCCGGGCGTGGTGGCGGATGCCTGTAGTCCCAGCTACTCGGGAGGCTGAGGCAGGAGAATCGCCTGAATCTGGAAGGCAGAGGTTGCAGTGAGCTGAGATTGCGCCACTGTGCTCTAGTCTGGGCAACGGAGTGAGACTCCATCTCAGAAAGAAAGAAAGAAAAAAAGACCCAGAGGGAGACAGCTAGGGCAGGCTCAGGGAGAGATGTGCCTTGCACTATTCTGTCCAGGGACACCTCTCCACCTCGTGTGCTGAGGACAGTCTTGCCTGCCTACCCTTTCTTTGCATCCAGCTTGCTATGTATCGCTTTCCCTGTCTCTGTCTCTGTTTCTGCCTCTGTCTCCCTCTTGGTTGGTCTCTGCACATCCTTCAATGCATTAGTCATTTGGCGTAAAGAGGAGAGACTGGATGGATGACAATGGAGAAAACCCAAGTTAAAGTATTCGGGAGGGAGTCACCTTTCCCCAGCTAGTGTCTCCCTCATCCAGAGCCTGGTCGTTTCTGAGCTGGATTCGTGGGGGCTCTATTTGAAGGACAGTCCCCTCATACCATCTGCCTCCTTACTGCCTCTCTCTGATTCTGTTTTTTTTTTTAAGATAGAGTCTGGCTCTGTCCCCAGGCTGGACTGGAGTGGCATGATCTCAGCTCCCTGCAGCCTCCACCTCCCGGGTCCAAGCAATTCTCCTGCCTCAGCCTTCTGTGTGGCTGGGACTACAGGCGTGTACCACCATGCCTGGCTAATTTTTGTATTTTTAGTAGAGACAGGGTTTTACCATGTGGGCCAGATTAGTCTTAAATTCCTGACCCCAGGTGATCCTCCCAACTTGGCCTCCCAAACTGATGGTGTGACAGGCATGAGCCACTGTGCTCGGCCTCTCTGGTTCTTGATCCTGCCACTTCCAACCTTGTCTCTGCTGGCTGTGGCTTTATATCTCTGCATGTCCCTGAGTGTGTCTGTGTTGAACTAAGTCTCTCTTTCTTTTCAGGGCTTGGGTTCTCCCTCAGCCTGTCTCTGTCTCTGTAAAGCTCTCTTGTGGCGCATGTTTCTCTCTTCCTGTCTCGGTCATGTTTTTGTGCCTTCATCCTGTCTCTGGCTGTGTAACTGGCAGGTCCCGGTTACCTCACCTGGCAGGAATCCTTCCCGTACTTCTCATCCCCGGCACACAACATGTTCTGGGTGATCTGGCCAGGGTAGGCACGCTCACACTCATCACGGGACACCAGGTGAATGTATGCACACTGGATGGTGTCAGGGAAATCACCTGTTAGGAGAGAGATGAGCCAGGCTCAGCCCAGGCCCTGCACTCCCCACATCCTCTCCAGCCATCCCCCTTCCCCTATAAGTCCTTCCTCCCCTATTCGTCCCTCTTTTGCATTGGTTCCCCTCTTCCTGTTTGTTTTTCATTCTTACAACCCATTTCCATCATCCCTGCCTCCTAATTGGTCCCTCTATCATTCTTCCTTCTCATTGGCTGTGTTCCTCATTAATAGTCTCTTCTCCCTGAGTCCTCATTTCCTATTGGTTTCCTTTTCTCTTAGGTCCCTCCTCCACTTTTCTCTCTTCCACTGGTCCCACCTTCTTTAGTCATTTCAGTTTTGACCTGGAAGTCTCTTCTATTAGTCCCTCCTCTACTGTACCCCTCCTGCTCGTTACTCCATTCTTCATCGGACACTTCTTGCCTATTGATTCCTCTTGGTTGATCGCTCTGTGACCATTGGTCTTTTCCTAACTGGCCCTCTCCCATTGGTTCTTCCTTTCTATTGGTTCTTCTTCCAATGATTTACCTCCATCATTGGTCCTTTTCTAACTGTCCCCGCCCTCCCTCATGGGTTGTCCCTTCCTATTGGCCCTTCATCCAATGGTCTACCTTCCTCATTGATCCTTTTCCTAAGTGGCCCTGCCCTCCCTCTTCAGCTCTCTCTTCCTATTGGTCTGCCTCCCTCATTGGTCCTTTTCTAACTTGCCCCATCCTCCCCCATTGGTTCTCCCTTCCCATTGGCCCTTCATTCAATGGTTCACCTTTCTTATTGGCCCTTCACCCACAGGCCCACCTTTCATGGCTCCTGCTGATCTATTGGACCTGTTTTTTTCCTCTAGTGACTCCTCTGGACCATTGACCCTTTCCCCTTAGTCCCTCTTCCATCAACTCTGCATGCATTCACTGTCTTCATTCACATCCTTCGGTTGTCCCTTGAGATTTATTGGTTTCTCTTCTTCCATCAGTTCCTTCTCCATTATTCCTTCCTGCTCTTCAACACATCCTGATCAGTCTCCTTTGATGGTTGACCTTCCTGATGAGCGTCTC